CCAATAGATGCCTGCATCTGAAGGAAGAAATAATAATTATAGTATTTTGGCACTTGTGTATAAAGTTAAAATCATAAATAATATTCAACGTTAAACTGGTACACAATTAAAAACATTTTATTTAGGCCTATCTATGGCCTTCAAAAAGTTGACGACTCTACATGTTTCGATGTTACACTTTGACTCCTGAGGATGATGGTGTAACGTCAAATCATGTAGAGTCGTCAACTTTTTGAAGGCCATAGATAGGCCTAAATAAAATGTTTTTAATTGTGTACCAGTTTAACGTTGAATATTATTTATGATATTTTTTTGAAGAAATAATGCTTGGTTCCTTACAATGGTCAGTATATGTGGTACACATTTGCACTCTAGTGAAAAGTACTTGAACTTTAACCTTTTAACCATTTGACATGAATAATAACTTCCAAACAAGTGCCTTTGGTTTTCTACAACCAGAAATGGCTTTGTTTTGTTAGATCATGGAGAAAATGTTGTACAAAATTATAATTTTACAGTTTTCAAGCTAATTCTAGACATTCAAAGTTACCCAAACTTGTCACTTTCACTATAATGATTTCATAAGATCACTTTTCAGTAAAACACTTCTTTTTGTTGGGTAATATTTTAATCTATACTGAATATAATTTCCATTATTAAAAATGATCAACAAGTAACAATAATATAGCACAATTTTTGAAAAATCTTAACCTTTCAGCCAATAAGTACACAGTTCCAGAGATACCCAACCAATCAAAATAGTGTTCTAATACATGTGTAGATCTGTCAAGTCTATCTCAAGCCTACACTTATCTAAACAAAATAACTATTTTCAGCTCTTGTGAAATAATTAAACTTTTAGAAGTAACAAGAATCTCCTGTTGAAAAAGACTGTTATCATAATTAGTAGGATTTATTGAAATTGGAAAACAAAATATTTGGTTCACATTTTTTCTAATATGATAATTTTCTATAATCATGAGACTATTGTAAGCTATGGTTTTGTTTTTTAAAATGTGGTAAGACAGCATATTGATACTATAGAGTAATTCCAACGAACATGTTGGCTAGGGTTAGCCTATGGCAGGAAAATTAAAGCTTTTTGCCTGTTAAATAATCATATAAGGTGATTTTGTTTTTGTGACTGCTTATATTATCTCGTATATTAAGTTCAAATTTGCCAAAGGAATTCATAGATGTATTGTAAATTGATCAAGAAATGAGCTGTGTGCAGTTGATTATTTGACCAATAAGTTGACTAGCTTACCAACCCTAATATGGTTGTAAATGATACAATTAAAAGATTATATTTCTTTAAGAAAATGTTAAGTATAATGAGAATGTGATTGTTATATGGTATTTGATGCAATAAGGATTAATTTGATTAGTATGATAAAACATTATTTATGGACATTCACTGCATTTGAATTCTATACTTTGAAAGAAACTTTATTTTGGCCTTATGAGTACTTTATATCTTCTGTTTTGTTTTTAAGGTGGTTAAGTTTAAAACTAGATGCACATTTTTGGAATAAAACATCAGCAATTATAAAAGATTGAAACCCCATAGGCAGACCATAGATTTGCTCACAGTATATGTCATGAATTGGAAGTAGGTTGCATCAATTTATTCAGCCCAGACAGAAGCTTCATTGTAAATTCTGAAACCTCATTATTGAAAAGAATCCCCAATTAGGTTAAAAATTCCATGGTTGTGTTTAAGTGCACTCTGGATTACAAGCTCTCACTTTTCTTATTTTACTTCTTTAGATGCCGAGAAGTGTTCATTTGTTGGTTATGTAGCCACATGTAATATTCCAGTGAGAAGTTCAGCAATGAATGTTAGAGTTGTTGTTAATCATTGTCATGAACCTATTGATGTTACCTTCTATCTTAAGGTAGGTATAGACTTTTCAGAATCTTAAATGTTTGTGAATTTGATATGCTGTTTGATATTTTTTGTATTAGTGTGTTGTGAAATATCAAGGTTGTTAGTTACAAAATACATGCTTTATGCACACAATGATTTTACCTTTAATAAACTGAAAAACTAGATATACTAAGATAAAACTTGGTTTTAAACTTACTGTTACTGGTTTTTTTTGCAGAAAATGTTATTTGACATTAGCAACCACATGATTATACTGAAATATATGTTTTAAACACTTCTGATTTTGAATCCAAAATCGATACATTAAGAGGAATGTGGAAAATAAAATCTGCAGTTTACAAGACTTTTATCAAAAATTTTAGGCCTATTGGTTTCTAATGCTTCATCAGCTTTTGATTACACAATAATTTTTAAAGTATTATATTACATATATAAATAATGTTTCATAGAATTTTTTGTTTCCAATCATTCAGGCCATTTGATGAGTTCTGGTATTGAACAAAAAACTTATTGTGGGAGACAAAAGATAGATCTGAAATGCTATTTTTCTACACAGCTCTAATTTTGAGCTCCAATGGATAAATTAAGAGGAATGTGAAAAAAATCCTGTATTTAATTTGTGTTTATGACTGCTATCATTCAGTGATTGTACAATACTGGAACACTTTTTGAAATCTATTCCTGTAAAGTAAGATAAAACTTTACTAATTGCCAATGTATAATATTTTTTAAAGTTATCACAAACTGTGTGACAGTGACAACTTACAAAACATCTTCAGAAACGTGAAATATTGTGGAAATAATTATAAATGAAGATTTGTAAAACATCTCATTTCTCCAAAATCAGTACTTTACAGACTTCAACTTTAATGACCGATGGCCATTAGTATGTAAATAGACAAATAATTGTGTGTGAATTTAATAATCTAGAAACAAATGAAAAAAATCTCTATATTGCATAAAGTTTATTAATGAACCTGAACAGGTTAAAGTGTGTAGCGGGGGTAATGTAAGCTAAGTATTTCAAATTATTGTACATATATTTTCCTTAATCATATTATTTAAAGAAATATATGTTTTGTTGAATTTATTCATCCATAAGTAAAATCAAACTCAATTTCTATTGCTAATGTTCTTTGCCTACATCTTATAAAAAGAATGATAAAACAATTTGAGTATTGTCACAAATAAGGCTTCCTGGTATAAAAATAAAAATATAGTAAAAAAAAATCCTGTAAACATACATAATAGGTAAAGTAAATACAACTAATAGACTGTAAAACTTTATTGTTAGGAATAATTAAAAAGAATCTAGTGTTAAAATAATAGGTGACTAACATTATGCTACTTTTTTTTACTTTAATGCACAATAACTTGTGATTTTTTGCAAAAGATAAATGTTATTGTACATGTAATATAACTTAATGTAGGAATGTGTAACAATAAAGAATAAACATTAATTTTTCCATTTAAGCATCCTGAAATTTAAAATTGATATATGTATATGGCTTTTTTTACAGTTGCAGTAGAAATATCTATTGCATCAAGAAACCTAATTTTCAGAATGATGTGTAATAAAGAAACTTTTTAACATTTTAGTTATATCACTGTTACCTTCCATGAATGAATGATTTTTTATTTCAAAAATTATGACAAACTTCAGCACATGATTGTTCTGTAGTGTATATTTTTAGAGCTAGGTGGTTTAATGGAATACTTGATATAATCAGTTAAGTGTGAGTAGCAATTACATTAATTAGTGCATAAGCTAATCAAGCAATCAAAATTATTATTAAGTTATTAATCAAAGTTATTATTTCTGATTATTACTGTTTTTGATTATTCCAACAGTCAATTAACTGAAATTATGATTCAATTTATTGTTACAAAAATAATAATTAGATAATTGAAGTTAGTGTTTCTGGTCATTACTGCTTTTGATTATTTCAACAATTGGTTAATCGAAATTCTGTATATATCAACTGTCATAAAAATAATTTACTAATCAAAATTTGGATTGCCAGTTATTCCAACTAACCAAGTAATCAGAATATTGCTATTGTATATATTTTTTGTTAAGCACAAAGCTACCTAATATGATGTCTTTGCTGTGCCCAATTTTAGCTGGTACATTATTTTTTTACTTCAAGCTTCTTCAGCTTTGGTGATTCAAGTCAGGGGCTCCTGACTTAAGAATTGTGGGTTCAATTCTCATTGCCACCAAACTTGTCTGCCTTGACTTTTTTATGACAAAGCTACTAAGGCTACTTGCCATTGTCACTAATTTTGAACTGCTGACTAGAGGAAAGGGAACTGTTTGGCAGCACCCACTGCCAACTTTTTTTTTTTACCTCTTTGTATCATTGTTTGTGGAACACTGTACCTGTCAATTAATCAATTATAATCAATTAATGGTGCCATTGATAATCAATTAAGAAAGGCCACTAATTGCTCATCTCCATTGTAAAAGAACTTTGAACATTGTTCAACGTTTCAACCAAATGATCTTCAGCAGGACCTGAAGAAGGTTGTTGTTGGGCTAAAAAGCTGACCAAGTTGTTTCTTTCATTAACAGCAGTTTACAATTCACTATGTTAATATGATAGAGAATAAAATTCTGATGTCATCTCTTTTTTTCATAATAATAAAAATATATAGTTTCAACCATTTTTCAGGTTTTATAATACTTAATACTACATTTTTGCTTGTTAGTTGCATTAACTCTATGTGTATGGCAAGGATCACCATCTGTCCACTTTTGTGACACATTAGCAAGTAGCAGGAGTTTCTTTTGATTCTAGCTGTATATTCTGTTAAGCGGGTGCAGTTCCTTACAAATAATAATGAAAAAAACAAATTAGTATCCAGACTTATGATAACATTCATATCTCTATAATAATGAAACTACCAATCTTAAACCTAACATTTTCCTTTTCTGAACAGATAGCTAATGCTTCACACCATTGAGAAAAAGTTTTTGTGCATGTGCCAAGACTTTGAACGAGTTCTCACCCCAACACTTAGTAACATGAACTACATTAGTCTATGATGCAATTAGCATTAGATTATACCCCTCCACCAATAAGAGGGTGACACATCCCCCTTAGACAATAATCCCCTTGAACACTTTTTATAAACGAAAAGCTCATTCTAGATGAAGCAAAACAGACACACCAGCCCACCTCCTCATTTCTGGTGTTATGTTAATTATACAAATTTATTATATATATATTGTACAACATATTTTTTGTTTAGTTATGAGTCTTGCAAAAAAACAAAAAAACAAGAGAGAATGGAAGAGTTCAAATCTAGTGCTTAAAAAACATTCACAAAAATGTCAGACTTGTGTAAATATTGTGTACAAAGAGATTAATAGTTTCAAACTTTATTTTCCAGAATGCGGATATTGATTGGCGATATACTTTTGTTACTACAAACAAAGCTGAAAGCCAGGTAATTTCCAACTTTCCAGACAAGCATAAATTAGAACTTCATGTGGAGTTGCAAAACTTTGATAGGGAAAAAGTGGTAGTGTTGGCAGAATTTAATCTTGAAAATGAGAAAAGAGAGGTCTTCTTGAACTCTACAGTAAATATTGGATCCTATGACACTTGCACATCCTCAGGTGGGTTAGATTACTAGTATGAATCTTGTAATTTTAGATGAATAAAATCATTAACAAAACAAAGACTGTTTCAAGGCATGTTATGTATTTATCACAAGATTTTCTCTCTCAAGAGTATGTGTGTGTGTGTATGTATATACACAGCGTGGTCACAAGTAAATAGACACCGCCTTTTCAGAAAAAAAATGAAAATTTTCAGTCATATTCACATGAATTTATATATTTATAATTTTATTAATATCTAGTAGATCTTCCTTTCTCTTTGTGGAGTTTGTTGATCCTTTGGGGGCATCTTGAGAATCATCTCGTCAATTTTAGATTGTGGGATTTTCGCCCACTCTTGCTT